TTTACTGTGTGGGTCCCAGAGTACTGCCACAGTTTGCTCAGAAAGGTGGTGCCGCATCCTCCTTGGGTTCAGCTGGAAAGAACCAGGACTTGTGCCTGGACAGCCTAATCTGGGTGTCCTTGCTGGAGTGCGGGTCGGAGCAGGTGACCTTCAGTGATCTCTTCCAAGGTCAGCTATTCTGTGATTCTTCAATTACTTGAGATAAAATATGACAGGAAAGGAAACTGGGAACATTTTTATTTTTTTTCTTTCTTTGAACAAAACAAAACAAACAACCTTATCTCCATTGTTTCTTGGTTTTGCTTCTTTAACTTAGATAAGAAACTTGTCATTCAGGGACATGTTTTGTTAGGAAAAAACACATTTGTTTTGATGATGAAAGTCTACCCAGAATTGTGGGTGTTTTTTTTTTTTCCTTTTGCTTTCACGTGTATGTCAAGTTGTTCTTAATGAACTGGAGAAGTGGTTTGAATCAGAAAGATGAAATTCATTAATGTAAGAGAAATCAAATGTAAAAATACATTGGAAGAATATAAATCACATGAAAGTGCTGCAGAAAAAGATTATGAGATATCACGGCCTCAAACTGAGTTCACTACAAGATGTTGTTCTGAAAATGCCAAATTTTATTCTTGAATTTATGAGCAGGAGAAAAGTCTAAGGACAGGAGACAGTTCTCCGTCTATGCTTAATACTGGTAAGACTGTATGTAAGAAGATACAGAGAAACTGGAGTGAGAAAGATGAAAATAATAAAAGAAAACATGAGCACTGAAAGAAAGATTGAAGGACTTAGATTTAATACAGAAAATAGAGTGTTTGATCAGGACTTGGTAAATGTTCCAAAGTGTGTAAAGTTTGTTTTGGAGAGGATAATCATCAATTGTCCTTTGTATCCAAACAGAGCAGGACAAAAAGCAGTTGATTTAATCTATAGGGAGATTAATATAGGTTAGGTGCTGAAAACCATTTCACATTTTTGCCCTTATTAAACACTGTAATTAAAACAGTCGTTAAATGGGTCTCTTGAGAAGGTGATATACACTAGAACACTGGTTGTTCTGTAGGAACAAAGTGAAGGAGTATCTGTTAGTGGTTATTTAGATGTTGCTGGTTCTGCCATGGTGCTGTCTTATGTAAGATTACTGAATACCACAACCTTCCCAAGGCTGTCCTGGATGGTACTTGAAATAGAGAGATGGCCATACGACCTTTTCCTAAGGACTATGTCATGGCACCTTTTATATAAACAAAAATTCCTTGCTGCAATTATTGTTTCCGTTTAAAATCTGTTTACCCAGTTTATTTTAAGCTATAACGAAAGAATAAAAGAAGTCATGTAATGGGTAGAAAGCAGATGGGAAGAAGACATTCCTTTATGAATCAAGCAAAAGAGCGAATAAAAAAAAAGAGTAAATTCCAGCCTGGCTGAGACCATACTTTCACAAAAACCAATCCAATCGCTTCTGTAGTCAAGACATATTCAGAGATACAGCTTGACCAGTTTGTTGAGATCTATAGACAGCAAAGTGTGAGTGCAGAGATCCTATCAGTAGAAAAGCAGGAGTTTTGAGTGGTTACTTGTCCTTATTCCTGATATAAAGATATACCTTTTTTCCTAAGTATTTTTAATTCTTCCTCTATCATATTTCAGAATTCAGTCTTTCTTCTCAGCATCTCCTACTAAATTCCTTGTTCACCTCTACTGTCAGCTACTCTAGGATCCACCTACCCAAACCTACCCAATTGTTAGTCATCTCCCCACCCCACCATCTGCAGTTTATGCCATTCATGGCATCAAATCCCTGCTCATCATATTTCAGTTACACATATCTTCCTTTCACGGCATGGCTTATTCGGGTGTTGTGCTTCTGCTTCCTTCTTTCTGCACGTTTAGCCTACTTAACTCCATCTCTATCTTCAAAGTTACAAGTTACAGGTAATAAAATTATATGGGGGACTAGAGGCATATTGGAAAAAAAAACAAACAAGAAAAGAATAGTGAGGAAATAAGGACAGTGTTTCACTAACAATTTTTTGGATAATGCTTGAGATGGTCTGTTATTGCAGTGCAGTACAAATTTTAATTTTCATTCTGCAATCCAGGTATACCTGTGAGGTGATGGCTGCACAATCTTTCTGTTAATAACTTTTGAGATGTATTAGTTCTTATCTACTATCCTCATATAAAAGCTGATGACCTGTTCAGGACATTATCTAAATAAGACATCCCAGATTATGTTTGCATTTTGAGAGAGAGATTTCAGCAGTGAACTTGGAGACTCAAAGGTTTCTGGATGTGGAGACTGTGGGATATGTTGAGCCCAATGTAATTGGAATGTGAACTCACTGGAAAATGCAATGATAGCTACACATGCTAGCAATGAAAGCAGACAGTGGGAATTCAAGGGCAAGTGAAAGGAATAGGAAAAGGAAAGCATGGCAGTAACATCTTAAAAGAAGCTTAAAAGCAAGTGAATAGTCCAGGCTAGGCCATGGCTTTTTGAGAACTGTAAAGACTGTACAATTGTAGAAAGCAGAAGAGGTGACCAGGCCAGAACTATCTAGCTGTGTAGTAGTTTGGGAGTACCACCATGCAGCAGCTACCTATTGCATGGCTGCATGCCTGCAGCAAGAGGCAGCAGGGTACAGCTGCAGTCAGACATAGGGTCAAGCGGATCTACACAAGGTAGGTCCTGATCACTCCACCAACAGCAAGGGAGAAGCTTAAATTAGATATTTTATGCAGAATGCATGATTGGTTTATCTGGAGAGCAGAAGAAAGGCCATCTCACTACCCTTTTTCTGGAAGGCCACTTATACTGAGCCATCTGTCCCACTCATGAATGCTTGCTGAGCACCAGAAGTTCTCCAGGATGTCTTCCCTGACTGGCTGAGAACAAATGCATGCAGAGGCAGCTCAGGTGGAGCTCACTGGGTCCCTGATGCTGGCTGAATCATGAAGATATTGCTGACCATTTGCAAGCGTAAGGCCCTGGGGTTCAGAGATATGTTGGTTTAAAAAGATGTTTGGATTTTCTTCTGCTGGCTGTAGGAGGAGGGTGAGCAAGAGAGAGCTTATTTTAAACCTGAACTAAGTGATTTTTAGCTACTTCTTTGAGGAAAGAAAAGATACATTTTGTAGTCTTCCTGAGTAATTTAAAGTGACAGAATCCAGTGAGAGACAGCACTGTTTTATAAGGAATAAAACCCTGAAAAATATCTCACAGTCATAACCCTGAGCCAGAAATAGAGGTGCAAAAATTCTGTAGTGTTTTGAATGGCTTGGTAATATCAGTACATTCAGTCCTGCCTTTTCAAAAATATGCCAGCCATCAACAAAAAAAGGAGCGTGCAGGGTGAGAAGCATGGTTCAATCAGGCGTGGAAAAGCTTTCTCTGAAATTTCTCCTACAGCAAAATTTCCTCTGCATCTCAACTTGGAAGAAGTTAGAGAAAGAAAAGAGCTCTCCTGTGCATTTCTGCTGTAATATCCAAATCAGAACTCATTTTCCAAACAATTTGTGTATGTATTGCAAACAACATTTGAAAAAGATGCTGCCCATAGGAAAACAGCAAGACATTTTACAAAAGAGGGTGGTGAAACAGAGCAGTCTGTAATCTGAGAAGCACTCAAATGTAGTGTAGAAACAAGTGCCAGGTAATAAGTAATGATACAGTACAAGAAATTCAGGCACAGGAGCCTTGATGTTGGAGAAGGACTCAGTCCAACCAAGTAATGCAGCTGTATCTCCTACAGTGTGAGGGATGCTAAAAAACACTTCAGCTGTTGCTTCTCAGCAGGGCAACAACCTTCCCAACATGCTGTAGGGAAAGAAGACTTGTTAGGCCTTTTCCTGCTGTTTTCTCTCGAGATAGGGGTTGAGGTGCTTTACAGTTGGGTGTCTGGGTGCTAAATGGCAATAATGCAGCTAGGCAGGATGTCAAGTATGAACTGTGCTAACTGCTGCTCATGCTAATGGAATCAGCTGTTCATGTAAACAAGAATTTTGTCAAGAAAAAGCATCTCAGAAGTAACCAGCTTGTACTCAGCACAATGAGGACCTTAGAATTACTGTCTGTCATGCTGACTCGGGTTGGCTATACCACCATCCATCCTCTTCACTCATGGGTCCCTGCTGAGGTTTTGTTTCTGCTGTGTTTCTAAGTTACACGAAGCATGTCAGTCTTACTGACTCAGTGATGCCCTTAATGAATCTTTTTCCTTTTCATGGGTTGGGGCTAAAAGTAGATGTGAACCAATAGTCTCCTCACACTCGTGTGCAGTCAACTAAAGTACATATGTTTGTGAAGAACCTGCAGGAATGCAGAGATCACATGAAGGATATTTGGTGTCAGTTTAACAAAGATTACATATTACATCTTTTACATACTCCATCTTCCCTCTAATTAACGGATCACTGTATAAGTAGGAAGTGTATGCTGCTTCATGAAAGTCTTTATCAAGCTAAGATTTTCTTCTATAAACTTTATTTTGGGAAATTTTTCTCTACTTTTAGACTCTGCTGAAAGCAGTTGGATTTTGCCTACGCTGTGCAGTGTGGAGGCATCAACTTCATCTCTGGTCCAGACATGTTCTGCAGATGTGTTAGTACATGAATCTATTTGAGGATAACCAATCTAGCCAAGAAGCAGAATGGGTTGGCAAATGTGAAGCATCAAATAAGATGTGCCCATTGTTTTGTGCTTCAGGTTTCTCCATGTAGTTGTTCACTGTGCTGCAAAAAACTCAGTCCTGTTACATTCCCTGTAATCTGAATAGTTTCATATCAACCTTTATAATCTGGATGTGTTTTCTAAGGTTCCTCTGGAAGAATAGGATGAAAGGCTGCTACCTTACCAATCTTTCCTCATTCAAAATCTGGTATTTTCCATAGTCTGAGCTAGAAAGAGCCCAGCCACACGGCTGCTCTTCTTCTCTCTTACTCTGAAGGGAGCATCTATTTTCAGCTGTGTGGAAGAGATACCCACAGGCAAAAAGGCAACAGCTGCAAGCCTGGGGAGCATAAGGTGCTGTGGAGACAGTAGAAAAGTGAGGGAGTGCAAGTAATGCTGCAGTGAAGAGACATGTTTTGGAGGCCCAGAAGAAAGAGAAAAAAGGTTGGATTTGGAAGTAGGACTGGGTGTAGTAAGGCTAGCTGTGGACCAGGTGTGCTCAGACAATCCTGCTCAGAGAGGCAGGACTGAGAGATAGTATTCACATCCTTATAAGCTAACTATGATCTGAAGAGCGATGTGAAAACTCCTCCAGTTGCCCAGATTTCCAGCAAGGAGCATAGTTTTGCTAGGAAGCACTCCTGGGGACACAGCAATAGAGCATGCCTTCCTCAGGAGCTGTGTGGGAACCCAGGCAAGGCAGGATGCTTGGTGGCTCTCACAGCAATAGGAGGAGAATGGCAAGGAGCAATATGAAGTCCTTTGTTCTGTTTGGAAAATTGTAATTCACAAATTTGAAGCAATCATTTTAATGTTCAGATAAACAGAAATTTTGTGCTTTGAAAGCATAGAAATAAAAGATTAAAATTACCCACAGGCTATAATTATAACTCTTGCCCTCTGTTCAGATTAATGTGCTTCCAACAGGTAGAAAAGTGGCACCTGTTGTAAAAACATTGCTCTAATCTTACATGCAAAGAACTGCACAGCTCACAGAAGTCTTGGCAGAAAAAATGATTAGATAATATATAAGGACAGATATTTCTTACACTAGCGACTGTTGTTAATTTTCTTCCTTTTCAGATGGAGGGAAATTTGAAGCTGTGGTGTAAATGGGGAAGAAATGGCAACAGCAGAAGAAGGTTTCTTTCTCCTCCTGCACAGTAAGGTAGGTGGAAGGGAAGAAAATTCCATGTCCAACTAGTCATGTAGAGTTGCAGCTACTTGCATGAGCATTTGCAGCTGATTTTGCAGCTAAAGGAATTATTACACACATTGGCAGAGGCATGGACAGTTCAGAAGGTAGGTTGAGAACCTGAGGACTGTGATTTGTCTTTTCTTCTTTCCACTTTCAATTCTACAGTGAAAAGAATGATTTCACAGCATCTTTTCACCTGGTGACTATGGCTCCGGGGAGTTGGCGATAGCAAGGTTGTGACAAAAGTGACTTTGGTAAAGGAAATGTTTCTGGATTCTTGTAGGGAAGGGATTTATGAATATTTCTTTCTTTGTCTTACAGGCAGACATCATCCCATGTCTGGATCACAGCACTTTGCGTGCTCCCACAGGATAGCCTATGTTTCCTCCTATATTTTTTGAGAGGATCGGCTGTCTCCCACCAGGGGGGTGATGAAACAGGCATTATTCTTCTTCTTGTTGAGTGGTCGTCAGTAAAATCACCCTGCAGGCTCCATGAAAGCAAATAAAGCAGCACTCATCTAGGTACTCGTGCAGCTCATCCTACTCCTCAATGCATCCAAGATCTTCTGAGATAAACAGCCAGATCAGAAAGGTGAGATTTGAACATAGACTCTCACGCAGGAAAGATCAAGGGTCATACGAATCTTCCACTAGAGCAACTTCCATTATCTCAGTCAGGATGAAGGAGAAAGTGAAGCTCTGACATTGCCAGTGTTATGCAGATTGTGTTTTCATAGATTTTTCTTTTGAGAGCGCATTGACTTGCCAAACCTCTGAAGTGACATGTGATTTGGAGATAAATTTCCATATGATGTTTAAACCTTGCTACTGTCACAGTTCACTTGTCATTTGTACAAGGAATTTACATTAAATGGAAATTTCATCAATGTGTAGAGTTACTACTCTCTAGAGATTACCTCCCTGCAGATCTCTCTTCCCAATCAACTTTTAACTCTTTCACAGTGGCAGATATAACAGCTAATCTGGAGGCTACTTAATGGGATTTTTGAAGTTCTCGATATCTCTGATACGTTTGTGTTATAGAAACAACATTCTTTGCCTGGGCAATTGCTCATGGTGCCTTGGAGCCTGAGTACTCACCTTTTTGTTGTTCTTGTTAACGCTCTCATTTCATCTTTCCTAGATGTTCAGTAAAAGCATTTATTATGTTTTGACCTAATTTGATTTTGATTTTACATTAAGGTTGATTTGGATATTGCAGGATTCCTTTTGCTGAAGTGGACTGGATGTTTTAACAATAATAATACTGAGTGGCAAAATAAGTATTTTCTTGGATGGGTTCTTTGTAACTATGCGTGTCTCCTGGAAAAGAAGGGACAGTTGTTTTGCCTGAAGCAATAGAGATAGTAGCAGAAAGATTCAGTTGAACCACCTGAAAGGCCTGTGATGTATTTCAAGGGTCATCGTTTTTATGTTCATGGGGCTGTTGACAGTTCCTGGATTTGTGTCTATTCATCTATTGGACTTGGAATTTTTCTGGTTTGCTTTTATGGTAGACAGAGTGAGACAGGTGTTCCATGTGGTCTGCCAAAAGGAAAGAAAATCAATATTTCAGCATTTAGTTATGATTGTTTACTTAAAGCTACTTTTGACCCCCTCTGCCCTGCCTTTCCTTTCTAGAAGTACAAGAACAGGTTTTTAACCAGAGAAAAAAATACAGATTTCCCCTGAAAGATTACACTTCTGACATTGATTTGATTATTGCATTTGCTTATATTTTATCCCTTAGAAAATGTTTAGCACCAGTATTTTCTCATTTTTGTCTCAATATTTCTAATCAGATTGTGATTTCTCTTGTGAAGAAGCCACTATGTGCATACAGTGCTAAAGTCTTGGGTAAGGAAGAGGTAAGAGTATGTGACACTATTTAGAATTGAGGCTGTAGCTAGTATAATGATAATAACAATAACATGGACAATTACCAGAGTTTCACAACCACTGAATGATAGCTTCCCACCTTGAGTCCCCTGAATTCAATTTAAAAAGAGCTAGATCTGATTCTCTTGCAGTCACAGGACAATTAGAAAGTAGTATGAATGCCAGGACCTTTCATTTTGCTAGCTTGTGCAAAAGGCATTTTGAGCTTCCTGTGTAAATGGCTCAGTTATTTCCTGCATTTACTTATAGCCAGGTGATTATTATTTATCTTGATTGCATGCAGAGAAGAAGCCTTTTTCATGTGATTGTTGAGGGGACAAGAAACAGATACCTGAGTACTCTCAGATAGTCAATTTGATCACAGAAAGGCTTTGCACTGAAGAGGCAAGGGTATGCACCAACACAAGGGAATGTCTCAACAAATGACTGTGGCAAGTGTTGGCAAAGGAGCATTTCTGAAGACTGTTAGTCTGAAATAGACACTAAGGCTAGCAGCAGGCCTAATACCAATGTCCTATCTGCAGCTGCACCAATCGTGTCAGAACTATTCCTACTCTGCTGCCTGGAAAGCAAGAGGAAAGCTGGTGTAGAGAGGTGCACTTTAGACACCATGTTCCCTGGGAAGACCTTCACAGGTCGTGGTGAAGAATTAAGGACATAAATCATACTCACCTTTTCAGGGTTTAATCAGGCTCTGTGTACTGCTTTGCTTACATGGGTACAAGATCTCGTGTCTGCCAGGCTACAGACATCTCACCAACCTGCCAGTCTTCTCTGTTTCACTGCATCTTGTCCTGACTGTCTGATCCCGTATATAGTCAACAGCACCATTTCCAAACCTTTTTACACAAGGATGTTTTGAATAAAAGATAATGCAGTGGTAATGTATCCACAAAGATGGTAACTTGATGGGCATTGACATCTCAAAGGACATGGTTGCAATTATCCATTTGTTCAGTGAGGTAAAGCATGGAGTAATGCTTTGCATTGTGCTCTACTTGATGGGATATCTCTGATCTTTTTTGCCAGAAGGAAGTGGGAGGTGAGGATGTCTGCAGAAGGCAAGCTGAGGAGAAACAATAACCAGAAATCCTCAATGGTAGTTGCTGAGAAAAGAAAGGTGTCTGTGTGGCTTAACTTGCAAAAATATATGTGGGCAGAAGTGCTAGTGACAGCGAGCAAAGAAAAGAGGATGAGCAATGGCAAATGAAGGTCACAGTGAAAATGCTCACAAGAAAAGGCAGAAATAAATGAAAAGCTGAAGTCACATGTGGATTGTGGGAAGGTCTTCAGCTGATTTTCATGGTATGGATCTCAATTGTCTTGCAGTGATGGTGTTGCACTAGCGGTCATGTCACAGAAAGTCAGACAGTTGTGTGGGACTTGTTGAGTGGGAGAAATGTGGGACTGCTGCATTTCTCTAAGAGATGAAGAATCAAAAGAGAGCAAAAAAGGTGGTTTTCTCTGGGGAGAAACCTTGCAAGGCTGCAGAGGATGATAAAGTGATATGTGTGCCTTGATGTTGCAATATGGGACACCTCCATCTGCCACAGCACCTGCTGCAACAGGGCTGTTTCAACAGGCATGCAGGTAGCTGTCAGTCTCCCAGTGGAAGCTGCTTTTCATGGTCTTGTAGCCTGGGACCCTGGGATGGGTTGTGTTGAGAGGTAACAAGCCTGTGTCTGGGTGCATTTTTGACCCACCTTCTTTTGCACAATGCAAAACCATCCTTAGTGTCTCAGATTTCCCTCAGGATTCTGGAGCTGAACTGCCTGAGCTTGGGAGATAAAGTCCATGATTTCTGACCCTGATCTTCATAATGGAATGGATCTGAAAGACATTATCATATGTGACTTCTTTTCTTTTTTTTTTCTTTCTTCTTTTTTTTTTTTTATCGTGATATGGACCACAAAAGTAAAATTAAGGCAGAGAGAAGCTTCCAGTAAGTCATTACTGTGCAGTCATTACCCTTTTTTTCACCCTACAACAACTGTTTCCATGGAGACTGGAGCAAACCAGTGCTAGGAGAGTGCTATCTGCTGGTTCCTGTTTCCACAGAAACATGAGCACTGGATTACCAGAAATGAAGTTACTGTTGCCCAGTCATACTAACCAAGCGGCAGCACTCAGGAACAAGTTTCCTCCCAATTTTGTGCTCAGGTGGTCAGTTACAGCAAGTCTCAGAGTGTCAGAGAAGATACCATAACTCTTGCACAGATGTGGTGTGCTAAACCCGGAATGCTACAAGCAGATTTGAAGGCTGTGGTGTGGGCTCACCAAACCCAAGACACCACGCATTGCAAACCAGAAAACATCAGTGGTGTAATGTGGCTAGTAATAAATGTTGCAAGGAACAAGGGGTGATTTCTGTGCAGTCAGATCCTGCCCTATGAGTGCAGTTTGGGGTCACTGTTGGTATGATGTGAGAATGGATGTAATTGCCTTTTGTGCATACTTAACATACGTGCAGTTGGTAAGGCCAGTCAATCTAAACACTTCAGGGATTTCCCCCAGCCATATGTTTTTTCTAGAATAGGGTAAGCTGTTCAGTATTGAGACTGTGGGTGATTTTTGAAGGCTAAGCAAATCACCTGCTTATATGATCAGTGTTTGCTGCAATTAAAAACCTCTTCCTGTGCCTGGTAAAACTGCTTGTCTTGCTTCTTGACAGAAGAACAGCTTGAATTTCGGAAATAGTCACTTGGCTAATGTGAACTTTAAGCTGGATAATTTTGGGAATAAAATGTAGTGCACAATGTTTTCAGAGGCAGTCAGAGACAGTCTTTGTTTAGATGAAAAAAAAAACCAACCCGAACCACTTTGACTTAATTTCTTACCAGTCTTTATAAAAATTGTTTTATGTCTAATGGGTAGCTGGTAGAAACATTAGTCCTCTACACATCTATAAAGAGAGAAGACTTCCTGTGTCACTTTTCAGAAGGTTCTGTACACTGACATTTGTTGATTCTATCTAGAAAACACACATTTTCTGCTGCAATTACTCTGCTCTTCAGACAAATGCAAAGAATAATGCTCCTGGCACAGCAGATTACTGGAGATTGAAGGCCTGAGAAACAACATCCACTCCACCTGACATTGTCTTCCAACAAGATATTCAAATTGATCCAATTGTATTTCTTCAGGAATATTAATAATAAGAAAAGATTTATTTTGAATTTGGACATCTGTTTTTAATGTGCAGGATTTTTGTTAGTGGCCTTTAAGTTCATTTTGAGATAAAACTTATCTTGCAAGTCTGTTCCTTGCTTTCAAAACTCCGTTTACTATCACAATAAGATCAGGTATTTTACAATTCATTCCAGAGATGAAGGCCAGATGAAACATCCAGCACAATCTGCTGCAAGTAGAGATGATATGCTTTCATCTGTTACTGTGTATTAGAACCATAACCTTGTGGAACAAGCATTCCACACCCTCCCCCTTTCCCTCCCCTTGCACTGAAAAATACCTTTAGAAGGCAGAAATAGGAATCTACTACTTTCAGGAATGTCTTGTCCTAATGGTTAATCATCCTTGCTATTACAAATTGATCTCTGTTTTTAATTTGTCTGACATTAACTCCCAGCCAGTGAGTCTATGTATGTCTTTCCTATCCATATTAAAAATACCTTTAAAAACTTGTGATTTTCTGTGTCAATCTGCTTATACTCTGTAATCAAGACGATCTATCTTTTAGCTTTTATTTTATTTGCTGTGATAAATAGCTCAAGCTCCTTGAATCTCTTACACAGTAAGGCTGCCTTCAAACTTCAGTTTCTTGTCTCATGACAGTGTCTTCAATTTATTTTTAGCACCCCTTTAAAAGTATAGACTAATATATTTTTAACATCCCTTTGAAAGTATAGGCATGTGAACAATTTACAGGATTCTGATATTGAACTCATCAGACCTGTACTGAGAGCTAAGATGACCTCACTCTTTCACATAACTGGAGACTCAATTACTGGTTTAATATCACACTGCTCTGAGGGCTTATATGTAATTTTGTCTGTGGTGAGTCCTAAAACTTTTTTGGCTTCTTTCCATGTGCAGTTCTACTGGTGTGGTTTATGGTCTTCCAACATGTTGGTATCTACATCAGAAATTATCTTATGCTTTCTGAGGCACAGAAGTAAATTTTACTAGCTGATTCTCAGTCATTTGTCTAAATTTGTGAGGTATTTTGGATATCTGGGTGTGGAAGATATCTACAGAAGTGCTGTGATACTGAGTCTGTATGACCAGGTGCTTTCACCTGGCTACAATGAAACGTGGTTTCCAATGATCAGTGCAATGCCCAGAGCAAATTCATGTGCTCTGTGCTGAAGAGCAGTGTGACTGCAGCACAGGGTACTGAAGATGCTCTTCATACTGGAGTGGTTGCCTTCCCTGGAACCATTACTCATTTATT